AAGCTGGAGGTGCTCAGGGCCAGGCTGTATGGGGTTCTGAGCACCCTGGCTGCTGTGTGCTCCCCACCACATCCTGCAGATCTTAAGGACCTGACCCTGTGCAGTGAATTTTTGCTGTCCCTGCAGTATGTCAGGGGAAAAGGTGCCGTGGCCAGCTGGGTGGGAGGCATTCAGCACCCAGGAAACACGGGAAGCAGCTCAGTTCCATGGGCAAGTTATTATTTAGCTGGGTTTATTGTGCAGCCAGAGTGCCTTTGGCACAGTGGAGGCGTTTTAAAAACCCCTGACCCTTAACCTGGAGTGGCTGAAGTCTGAAGGTCCAGGAGCAGGAGCTGCAGGCAGCCCCAGAGCTGCTGCTCAGCACCCAGGCACTGAGTAACAGTCTGTGTGGGCTGCAGGTTCTGCCACCTCCTGAGGCAGCAGCTCGGGGAGGAGGTGCAGGAGGTCGTGGCAAAATGTGGGGGCTGCTTTTTTGAAGCTTGATTCTTCTTTGTCCCATAGAAGCTGGGCAGGGAGGCAGAGGCACCAGGGGCATTGCTTTCCTCAATCCCAGTCCAGAGCAGACTGGATTGGAGCAGACCACCTCCCCCCTGCCTCGGGGTCACTTCTCCTTGTTCTTCTCCAGCAGAAGTGAAGCTCAGCCACCACCCCACAGGCTGGTTGCTTTTGGCAGCTCTTGCAGTGCTGTCATAGGATCATTAAGTCATTATGGTTGGAAGAGACCTTGAAGATCATCCAGTCCAACCATCCCCCATCCCTGCCAGGTCCCCACTGCCCCGTGTCCCTCACCCCACATCTCCACAGCTTGGAAACCCCTCCAGGGGTGGGGACTCCACCACTGCCCTGGGCAATTCCTCGCAGGAAAGAAATTGTTCCTCAGGTCCAACTTCAGCCTCCCCTGGTGCAACTTGAGGCTGTTTCCTCTTCTCAGATGGCCTCTGGGTCTCTCTGTAGCACAGGAGTTGCCCCTTTTGGTTGCCAGCACCCGAGCTGAGGAGCCTGCACAGGGCAGAGCCCTTGCCCGGGCTCAGTCCCCGCTTGCCCCACGGCTTGGCCACGCTGGTCCCCGAGCCCAGGGTGAGCACTGCTGTGGGTGCAGGCAGCTCCCTGCTCCCCGAGAGCGTGGCTAATTATTAAAATTATGCTCTACTTTGATCTGTGGTCTAATTGGCTTACCTTGGTGGGACAGTTATCTAATCTGAGACTGACATGTTTGAAGTGCGTCCATAAGTGCTCCGGGCAGGCACGCCTCAGCCAGGGGATTAGTCACTGGGATGGGAGTGAGCTGCAGCAGAACCTTGGCTGAAACTTCAGTGGAGAGGGACTCATGATGCTCTTTTTATTTTTTTTTTGAAAGCTCCTCTGGGGTTACGAGCAGCTTTAGGTGGAAGTTTCCACCCTGGCTCCTGTCCTAAGGCTCCAGCCTCGGCTGGGTCCGGTCGCGAGGCTGAGCGATGGGCAGTGGGGTTGTGGGGATGGAGAGGAATTTGGGAACACGTTCCCCCCCCTTGGAGGTTTTGGGGTCCCAGCAGACAGCTGCCAGCACTCCATCCTGGTGGGGCTTCCCTGGGGAGGCAACTTCTCCTTGGTGCTGCAGGCAGAGCATGGCAGCAGCCTCCCCGTGGTGCCCCCTCCGGCGGGGGCAGTGGCTGGGCAGGGAGCCCAGCTGAGCTCCGGGGGCTGTGCCAGCGTCTCCAGGCAATGCCCCCGTGCCCAGGGGAGCCTCTGAGCGTGGCCCCTTCTCTTGCAGTGGAACCTGGTGTGTGAGGACGACTGGAAAGCCCCCCTGACCACCTCCCTCTTCTTCGTGGGCGTCCTCATCGGCTCCTTCTTCTCGGGGCAGCTCTCGGACAGGTGACCCCTCTGCTCCCCCTGCCCCTGGGCACAGCAGGGCTGGCACCTTCCTTTGTGACAGGCATAAAGGAGTTAACTGTCCAGTACTCTGGGTTGTGGTCAAAGTGAGGTCACTGGTCTGGCTTCTTCAAAGATCCCAACCTTCACCTACCCCAGGCGTAGGTTTACTGCCTCTTGGGTGCTTCAGGTAGACCAAGAGCTGATCTCCACCAGGAGATCTCCACAAGGAGCCCATGTGGCTGTTCTGTGGTGGGTTTCACTTCACAACCACATTTTGTTTCTTTATCTGTCCTTTTTAGTAGTTGAAAAGATGTTGTTCTTGGTCACACGTTCACTGACAGCCCGTTCTTAGAGCTGCAGGGTAGAAAGTTGCTCTTTGAAGAGAAGCTCTGCATAGAAAAGATGGTTTGCTGGAAATTAAGTCTATCCAAGAGGAAGAAAGGAAGATAAACCTGTAAATGAGGAGCAATCACATCACAGCATCTAAGCAGATGTAAAATATCAACAAAAAAAACATTACAGGCACTTGACAGTTATCTCAGGTTGGAATTTCTGGCCTTGAAAGCATCAAGTAGAGATTATATGTTCCTTGGGTGAATCTTTGCTTCCCTTTATTTACAGCCCTGAGTTTTTTTTTCTCCATCTCATTATGTGGAGTCTCCAATTCTGCCTTGGCTGCTGCCTGCCAGTGAGGAGTTCCCAAGAGCATTGGTGCATCTCTGAGTGTTCAGCAGAGGGGCTTCAAAACTCGATGGGAGCCTTAATCCTAAAGCCTCCAGTGCTGAATTCCATGGGATCCAAATTTAATCTCCTGCCCCGCTGTAAAGTCAGTCAGTGTTACTGGCTGAAAGGAGATGAGATAATCACTAAATCTCACTGGGAGCATCTGGGCTGTGGTGTGTGCCCTGAGGCCCCTCAGCCCCCCAGAGCTAGTGGGGGGGGATTATTTTGGAAATGGTTTGTCAGTAAGGGGCATGTTCAGAGCCTGGACCTGAGGGATTTCCCCCTGGGCCAGCACACAACCCCCTACCTGAGCTTGTCCTTTCCATAAGGGGATGCTTCTGATGCAGAGGAGTGGGTGAGAGGAAGGGTGCAATATCTGTGGCAACTCAGAGAGGTTGAAAGCAGCTGATAAAGCTGTTTAACATCCAAAGCATGATGGTTTTGCAATGTATAGATGTGAGCAGCCTAAAAGCCATCACTTCCTAACCTAACAGCTGTCTCCTCTGCCTCACTCATGTTCTGCTCTCTAGTTTCCTCAGTCCCTGTCTGCTGCCTCCCTGAAGTTTCTCCTCTTCATTTTTCTTCTTGGTTTATTGCCTGGGTCTTGGAAGTTTAAATTCTTTTTTTAGTGCTTATGAAAATAATGAAAAAGAATTCTTTAAGGTGAACAAAACTTGAGGTTGGATTAAGCTGCATCACTTGAGCTTGGGGATTTGTGCTCCCTCATGCTCCCTGACGTAGCCCTGCTCCCTAAATCCCTGCTGCTGCACTAATCATCTCTGTCTTTTGGGAAAGGTTTGGCAGGAAGAATATCCTTTTCTCAACAATGGCCGTGCAGACTGGCTTCAGCTTCCTCCAGATCTTCTCTACCAGCTGGGAGATGTTCACAGTGCTCTTCCTCATAGTGGGGATGGGACAGATCTCCAACTACGTGGTGGCCTTCATACTGGGTATGAGTATGTCTGCAGTACATTCAATGCTTGCCTAATATACTGATTTTTTTCCCCTCTGAACCTTCATAATTAGCAGTAAATCCTCACTGGTACAACTCCTGAATTAGACCAGTATGGGGTTTTTTTTTGGGTACTTCAAGCTTTCTATAGGTTTACAGTAAAAGCAGAGGGCAGGAAAACTCTCAATAAACATCTCTTTGGAGAAGTTCAAGGGGTTTGTTATCAGCAGAAGCAGCTCTGAGACAGAGACAGTGTTCAGGGTCCTCCCTGTAGGTGGTAACATGAGGTAATGTAAATTAAACCCTTGCACTAATAGTGCTGTTCTTCCCTCCCCCGGGAGGCTTTAACAGGAAAGAGCAGAGCAGAAGGGTGTGATAGGAAATGAGGGCTCTGGAGGGATGTGGCACCCTGTCCTGGGCAGCCTGAGTCACTGCTGGGGGTGGCACAGGGAGGGTTAAGTGGGTCAGGCTGGCAGCAGGGACATCCCTCTCCGTTGTGGTTGTCACCACCACTGCCACCGCTCCGTCTGCCCTGGGGGTTAACTGCTGGCTGGAGCTGGAGCTGATGGGTCCCTCACTCCCAGAAGGACCTTGAGGGGCTGGAGTGTGTCTTAGGGAAGGGTCTAGAGCCCAAGTGTGGGGAGGAGCAGCTGAGGGAGCTGGGGGTGCTGAGCCTGGAGCAAAGGAGGCTCAGGAGAGACCTTCTGGCTCTGCACAGCTCCTGACAGGAGCCTGGAGCCAGGGGGGGGTCGGGCTCTGCTCCCAAGGAACAAGTGATAGGACAAGAGGAAATGGCCTCAAGCTGTGCCAGGGGAGGTTTAGTTTGGACATTAGGAAAAACTTCTTCCCTGGAGGGGTTGTCCAGACCTTTGCCAGGCTGCCCAGGGCAGTGGTGGAGTCCCCACCCCTGGAGGGGTTCCCAAGCTGTGGAGATGTGGGGTGAGGGACACGGGGCAGTGGCAGTGCTGGATTACTGGTAGGACTTGGTGACCTTAAAGGCCTTTTCCAACCACAACAATGCCATGGTTCTGTGAGCACTGGCCATGGGAAGGCTGGGAGGTTCAGTGCTGGGTGAGGAGCACCAGCTGGGCTGAAAAGCCTTTTGGAAGCACATGAGGTTTGCATGGCACAAGTCCCTCTCGTGGGGCTTCAGGACTTGCTCAGGCAGGAATTTGGCTCCTCAGCTCCCCAGGAACATGGGGCAGTGCTGGGTGCAGATCAGGGTGCAGCCTCAGCTGCAGGGGGACCCAGAGCAGCCCTTGGCCCCACTGCTGAGGGGCAGGACTGGGGCTCATGAGGCCACCCCAGGTTGATTTCCTTGCACAGCTCCAGTTTGCTGGCACTTCATCCCTTGTGTTGTCTCCTCCCTGTCCAGCATGGTGCAGAGCTGTGGCAGCAGCACTGGCTCCCTGGGAGCCAAGGGGTCAGTGCCTCAGGTTGACTGTTCCCTGGCAGCCCTGAGGCTCTTACTGAGGGCAGGATTCATCTATCTTAGCATTAGCTTCCTAATTTGAGTCGTCCCCTGCCTGTCATCAGTGAAGAGAGGTGCTGATGGAGGATGGTCCTCCCCACTCTGCCCTGTGTCACTGGGTGGTCAGCACACCCCAATGAGTGCCCTGAGCTCTGCCCTTGGCAAGGCAAACCCAGGAGCTTCCAGGAGCCTGCATGTGACAGGTGATGGATAGGAGGATATACCCACAAAAAGAAAAGAGGCTCCTTAAGAAAGCCCATCCTGAGCATGGGATGCCCTTGGCTCAGCCAGTGGTGCCCATGGGTGTGACCTGGGCTCGGGAGGGGAGAGGTGACACCAGCACCCATCCAGATCCCAGTGGTGGTGCCTGTGCTGCAGCCCTGCTCCCTCCAGCCCTAAATGAGGTGGTTTTCTTTCAAGCAACCACCTCAGCACAGGTTTCTCCTGTCCTGCCCCTTGCACCCTTGCTGCCCACCTTCCTGGGAAGAGTTTCCCCCCTAAGCTGCTGGTGAACTTCTGCAGAGAGTTTTTTTTTCCTCTCTGAAGCATTTTCCCCTCTCTTTAGGCCTCATTTGTTTTCTGTGCTCCAAACTGTTGTATTCAAGTTGTGGGACTGTAAAACACTAGGTAAGATTTATGAAGGCACGTTGGTAGAGTCCCAGAACTGTTATTCCTTGGCCAGGAGGATGAGGAAGGAGGAGAGGCAGGAGAGAGGAGAACTGCAGTTGAAAGATGGCATCTTAAATTTGCTTTAAATTGCCACAAATTATAATGTAATGTTTAATAGGTGGAAACCAATGTGTTGAGTTTGTGTCACTCCCACGAGAGCCATCAGCAGAGGAAGATGATGTCATTTATCCCCACACACTCATTTTATCCCTAGTTCTTCTTTTCAGCTTTCTCACTGTGACTTTATTCAGTTATTCCAAGTTTCTAAAATGAAAATTCATGTAGCTATCAAATAGATTTTCTTTTGTCTTGTTTATTTTTTCTCCATTTTCTCTACAACGTTAAATGTTGGGGAGTTCTTATCACACTACACAACCAAAATATGCTCTCCAGACTTCCTGAGACCCTTGTGTTTGCTTTTCAATGGAGCCCAGCTCAAAGGATAGGAGCTATGGCCCTCGTGGTGCTCCTCCTGGAGAGGAGAGCTCTGTAGACCCAGGGCTGAGAGCTCAGGGAGAAGTGAGGTGGACCTGAGAGCATCCATGGATTGTGTTGAGCAGTGCCTAGGTATTTTATTGGAAAAGACACTAGGTGCTAACAGTGGTCTTAATTTTGATGGCTAGCTATTAGGTTGGCACTTGGCTGTGCATGACACAGAGCTTGTAGGATGCTTTCATGGACTGCTGCTGGCTGCTGGAGCAGTGGCATGATGAGAAGGTGACATCTTCCCTGTGTCCAGCAGAGTTATTGGAAGGTGGGATCTTCCCTGGCTGACCCTAGCAGCATTATTGGAAGGTGGGATCTTCCCTGGCTGACCCTAGCAGCATTATTGGAAGGTGGGATCTTCCCTGGTTGTCCCTAGCAGAGTTATTGGAAGGTGGGATCTTCCCTGTCTGTGTCCAGCAGTGTTATTAGAAGGTTGGATCTTCCCTGGTTGTCCCTAGCAGCATTATTGGAAGGTGGGATCTTCCCTGGTTGTCCCTAGCAGTGTTATTGGAAGGTGGGATCTTCCCTGGCTGTCCCTAGCAGCATTATTGGAAGGTGGGATCTTCCCTGCTTGTCCCTAGCAGTGTTATTGGAAGGTGGGATCTTCCCTGCTTGTCCCTAGCAGTGTTATTGGAAGGTGGGATCTTCCCTGCTTGTCCCTAGCAGTGTTATTGGAAGGTGGGATCTTCCCTGCTTGTCCCTAGCAGTGTTATTGGAAGGTGGGATCTTCCCTGCTTGTCCCTAGCAGTGTTATTGGAAGGTGGGATCTTCCCTGCTTGTCCCTAGCAGTGTTATTGGAAGGTGGGATCTTCCCTGCTTGTCCCTAGCAGTGTTATTGGAAGGTGGGATCTTCCCTGCTTGTCCCTAGCAGTGTTATTGGAAGGTGGGATCTTCCCTGCTTGTCCCTAGCAGTGTTATTGGAAGGTGGGATCTTCCCTGTCTGTGTCCAGCAGTGTTATTAGAAGGTTGGATCTTCCCTGGTTGTCCCTAGCAGCATTATTGGAAGGGGGCATCTTCCCTGGTTGTCCCTAGCACCTTTATTAGAAGGTGGCATCTTCCCTGGTTGTGTCCCACAACCTGTGATGGGCCAGTCCAAAAATTCCAGCTTTCCCTTCTGAAAATGCAGATGAAATTCATTCCCACCTCACTGTAACTTCATGTCCTTCCACACTGGGTCAGGCTGCTGCCCCTTAAATCCCAGTGGGGGAACAGGCTGGGTCCTGGCTGAAGTGGGGAGCAGGCTGGGATCCAGCCAAACGTGTGGGGAAAGCTCCTGAGAGTCTGCTGGCCTTCTGTGGGTCCAAAAATGCATTAATCAAAGCAAACAGAAGCCACTGCTTCCTCTGAAGGTCCTCGATGCTCCCCACAGCTCTGCTGGGTCTGTGCTGCTCTTTTTTTTAAGATTGTGTAGCTGCTTTTTCTTTATTTTTTTGTGAATGCAGTAAACTATTTCGTCATGCTTGAAAGCATTAAAATGCTAATCCAACCTCCCTTGTTTTAAACAGGAACAGAAATTCTTGGCAAATCAGTTCGTATTCTATTCTCTACATTAGGAGTTTGCATATTTTTTGCACTTGGCTACATGTTGCTGCCCCTGTTTGCTTACTTCATCAGAGACTGGCGGATGCTGCTGCTGGCGCTCACGGTCCCGGGGCTGTTCTGCATCCCACTCTGGTGGTGAGTGACCCCCCCCTGCTGCCCCCAGCCCCCTCCTCCTCAGGCTTCGGTGGTGTCTGTATGGGAGGAGGTGGTGCCTTGATGTGGGAGTTGGGGGGATGCTTCTTTTTGCCCTGGTTTTAAGTTAAATTAGTGTGGAAGGCGCTGTTAAAAATTCGTCCCCATCCTGGCCCTGTAGTGTTTTGAGTATCAAATTTGTCTTTCTTATAGGGCAGGACAAGGGGGGATGGGTTTCAGCTAAAAGAAG